CTGTTTCAGTTGCAAGATTCTCTGATAAGGAAGCAGACTATTCCATAATTACTTTGTCACTTAAACTGCTCTGCTCAGGCAGGCCATCAACAGAAGGTCCACGAGACACCTTCTTTTTTGTTTTTTATTTTATAAGCAAGATAGTCTAGTGGCCTGTGAACTTGCCAGTTGGAAGTCCATGGTCCCTCTTCAATGCACAAAGAATGGTGGCTCACCACTGGAAAGCTCTAGGAAACGATAAGTCGGTGACTTGTGGCATTTTCTGATTTGTAGATTTCTTAGATTTCAAATGTGGATTGATGAATAGACACTTTTTGTTTAGTGACAATAGATTTTTTTTTTTCTGGATACACCTAGAAAGAGGACAAAGTACCTATTGTAAGAATGACTGACTCTGTTTCATTTTCTACTTGTGCAGCCTCCATGATGACTTTAATGGGTGTGGGCACGATGAGTATGTCCCTTAAGAGTGAATTTTCTCCTTATTTTAAAGGGGATCTGAGATGCCAACTGCTACCTCAGGAGAGTGAAGCCCTTTGCAGAGGCAGCAGATGCAATGCAGCATTGCTCTTTCTACTGTGCTTTGACTCTGACCATGGAAGAGAGAGCTCTTGGGACAGAAAGTGCTCTGTTTACACTCAGAACTTGGCATTCTTCCTAAGGGTACCAATTATAATGGTGTTTTTTTGTGAGATGGGCACACATCCATTATGACTTGGCTTTCACCCACCAACTCATTTTGCACAGGCCATGGAACATGCATCAGATGGCAACGATTCCTGTTCGTGTGCAAATTTAAGGAAATCTAGATCCTTACCAGCAGAATCATGGATTCCATAGAATTGTTCTGTTGCGCAATTGTATGAAGTATGCTAAGAGAAAGTGCAGTTTCTCAATAATTCCCTCCCTCTTTTTAAAAAAAAAAACCACACCACAGGAATGATAGGTTATTAATCATGATTAATACTCAGTTACTGTGAATTATAGTGGAGCAGTGCCTGGAAATCCCAGCCTGTTTGGTAAACTTATTTTCTTGCATAACGTTTCCTTGCATTTAAGAGGCCTAAAATACAGCTTGTCATAGATGAAGATTAAAGTGATAGAACCACACACTTCATGTAATTAAAAGAAAAATTTAATAGATACATACTTTCTTAGTCCAAAGCTATTGAATGTTTTTCAATACTGTACAAGCATAAGAACAGAAGAAATACAATTGTGAACGTCTTAATTATTACCGTATTTTGCTTTCTTCCTGAGAACCAGTCTTCTAGAGCTCAACTGTAGCATTCAGCCTGAATCCCTAAGCAGCACTGGAGTTAAGGCAAAGTTGTGTGTTGTCTTGACATTGGAAGATGTGGTCATTCTACTTGCAATTGCTTAAGAGAGTATGAACAACCAAAATGCTCCGGGAAACAGAGGAATGTCAAAGGAGATAATATACTACGCTCCATTTGGGGGTATGCATGGGCTAATTTTTGTTAGCCCATATCTAAAGGGACTTGTAGTGTGCATGGAGATTAAGGCACCGGAATGACATTATGGAAGGGCTCATGTTCAGTCAGAGAATTTAATTTCCTTTGAGATAACTGGTCTACAGCCTTTCAGAAGCACCCTGAGGCCTTTCTCGTTCAGTCCTCTGTGTGCAGGGTGCAGTACGATATTTAGCAAATGACAATTTCTGCTGTAAAGAGCTTGCGTCCTAATCTGTATTGTGTCCAGAGAACACAGTGAAAGGAGGTGAAAAGACATTTTCCTCTTAAGGCTGAGACTGCTGGGTCATTTCCAAGAGCAGATCCTTAGAGAGCATCCCATGGTCCCTTCCTGTAGAAGGTAGCAATATAGCTCTTCATTATTATCTCTGTCTCTCTCTTCCCCCAACCAATCTGTCAGCGCATTTATGGTGCTGAAGGGAGGCGTCGTGTCGGAGCGATGTTCCCGTTTGCAAAATGGAAACTTCTATTTGTTGTTCTGAGGAGCTGGTTTCACACGCTGCGGAGCTGACATCTCTCCGGGAGCACAGCTGAGTCCAACATGTTCAGAACAGCCATCCACCCAAACGCCTCCTACTCAAGCGCTCAGACCTTCCTTCCCAGTAAATAAAAAATACAGAGACAGCCTTGAATTGTTCCAAATATTTCTGTTTCAGTGGAATGTCTACCCATGTTCAGATCTGATAAATGGCTGTTTCTGTGGCCTAGGAAGTCAGTTTAGTGAGGGAATAGGATGGCTCTCCAAAGAGGAAACTCACTTTCTGGAATAGTTAATGGAAGTCTGACTGGTTTTGTCTGGTGTCAATGTATTAAAGGGTTCCTGTATGACGTGAAAATACAATGTTGCAATTAACAATTTTATGACAGAAAACAAAGTCATCGTAAGCTGCTGCTTCTACTATGTTGTAGGAAATAACACTCTCTTCGAGGTTTGATTGCTCTTACAGAAGACCTCTAAAAATCTACTTCCTAAACCAGGAAACAGAGCAATGTGCCATCGTACACTTTAGGCAAGGAGATATTGCTGCATTATTTAAAGCACCACCATTCACTCGAACAGCAGGTCTCAATATATCCCACAGTGAGATTGAATTCATATTGTTGGGACATCCTGTCTAGCCATGGCTATGGCCATCACCATTGTAATTCTGCCTTTGAGCTTACCCATGCCCTATAGTAGACATGACCTCAGTTTGCCAACCTACGGATTACAACAGGAAAAAAAGCTCTTTTGAATAACGATTCCTAAGAAAAGGGTTGAAAAACAAATTATTTGTGCTGGTAGTCCTTAATTCAGCTCCACAGCTGATGCATGGAGACCCACTTGCCATGGAGACCCACTTGCCCAGTGTGGTCAATGTGTAATACCTTGCAGGCTCAGAGCTGGCTTGAAAGACAAGTTCCCCATCTCTGGGTCCCTCACCAGCAGCATTTTGGGGTATGCCACCCTCTGGTTTCCTCTCTTGGGCTCCTTCCAGCCATTGCATATGAAATCTCCCCTTTCGGATGGCAGCATCAAGATTGGTACTTCCCTAAGAAATGATATGTGGGCAAGTTTTCTCCTTTTCTGACTCTTAAATGCTTTGGGTCATTGTCTTTACTCATACATGCCCACTCGCCACTTTGTCAAGGACAACCTATGGTAGAAAGTGGAATGATCCAAGCCTCTGTGGCCTGATAACATTGCACTGAGAGTTTAGTTGTGAGTCTCAGTATTGGGAGATTTAAGATCAAAAATCTATAGGAGAGCGCAAACTGGAGCATTATAACTCAGCATTGCCCAGCCCTGGGTATGTAAAACCAGTGCCTCCCAGGTGGTGCTGGTTAGTGCTTTTTGGGTTAGGGTCCAGACCCAGCCGGCAGGCTAGCACAGGTGTGGCAATTAAGAACTAATGACTTTCTTCCTTTAGGTGGCTACAGCTTGCAATATGATGTTGCAATTAAAATAAGCAAACCTCTTTTACTCCCCACCGATGTCCTGAAGGAGCACAGAAACGAGGTACGCTGGGCTATTTGCTGCATTTCTATCTTCTGTTGTCCTTAAGTCACTGAGTCTTGTAAGATACTTTTACAGACATCGTTAACAGTCCTACCTGCTTCTTACCTTCTAATTTTTTGAAAACATTAGTTTTCCAGAAGTGCGGGGGGTGGTGTGGTGGTGGTGGGGAGGAAATTCACAAGGATTTTTGTTTGCATTAAATATCCATGTGTCAGGACTACGGATTTGAAACTCAGATTATTAAACAAGTGGCTTCAATGATTTCAGCAATGCTGAGTATCCCAGCATCTGGTCCAGGATTCTTGTTTGGGATTCCCCAGGCACTTCTGCACTGAGATCAGTGGGGTTTGGGGGGGAAGTTTTAGTGCCTACACAAAGCAAACACTGTGCTGTTAGTCTATAAATATCAAATGTGAGCAAGCAACTGTGTTTTCCACTGTGCTTAATACCTGCATTCTGCACCCCCAGGCAGCTGAATTTACATGCTTTTGTTGTCATATGTGTAATGTGCAATATGTATTTCCTTTTTATTAACCAGACGTGCCATCAGAAAAGAGATAAAGGGAGTTTGAAAGCACAACCAGGATAGATACTGTCATTTTGCAATCTTTTGTGCACAGGTGGAGATGCCTGTTTCCACTAGAACGAGTGGCAATACTCTGCTGCTTGCAGAAATCTTACAAATGGAAATCAGGCAAAAGGAGTTATTGGCTATCCATGGGGTAATTCTCCTCTGGAAGTGTGCAGTCAATTCCCATTTAGGCTAATTACACTTAAGGAGCCCTTTCCTATAACTAATGAACAATAGGCATAACCTGTTATTACATAACCATAGGCACGCACATTAATACACTGTCGAATTGCACTACCCTGTTAAAATGCTTCCTCTACAAAATTCACTGGAGATTTTTAGAGGGATTTGCTGTAATTACCGCTAGCATGGTTTCTAATTCATTTAATTTTCTTTTCTACCTAAACTGAGCATATAAGTGTGTTTTAAGAGATTGAATAAATAAATTTTTAATTATAAAATGATGCTATATCATACATTATTAATAATAACCAACAACGTGTAATACATGTTTAGGCATGAATCCATTAGGAAGATGAACTAATATATATCAGTCCTAAAATAATGTCCTAATCTGTCCTGTGTCTATGAATGGGGAAATCCGTGTTTAAAGCAATTAGAGGTTTATAAAAACCTTGGATTGACAGTGGGTAAAACATCGACCACACTTGGCACTGAGGAATTCTGTTGTCATCTATGGCAAAGGAGGAGACCCTTTTTTGCCCTTTATTGGTTTCCACAGTTTGTGGAATCCTACAACCAGAATGGTACAGGTATACAGACCTCCAGGGTGGGGGCAGCATGATGCACGTAGTCCTAGTTGGCAAACACTCTGGTTATTATTGTTATCTTTAAATAAATAAATAAATAAATCTCCTTTGTTCTCTGTCAGTTCACTTTCAGGCAGTTTTGAGGCATTTTGTCATTTATTTTCCTATTAGCGATAGCAGACTTCGGAAATCTCCATGGCAAGCTCCAGGCATTCACCAGTCTCGTGGCAGGACTCAAAAATGCTGCAATCAATGTCACAGTCACAGTTGCAGTCATTGTTGGTGTGGTCTTCGTTGGATGTCTGGTAGTATCTATTGTATGGACAACAGGTATCTGTCAGCCAATGTTCACAGGTATCAGGCAGCATTATAAGAAAGTCCCAAAATTGGCAGAACAAGCAGGCCAGGATAAGCGTTGCGCATTCATCTAAGGAAAAGGAAAAGCAGTGAGACATAATAAAAAGGGCGTGCGTGATTACCCCGGTGCAGGCTGGTGTGACTACACAGAAATGAGATGCAAGACAGCACACAGGGCAGGCTAAAAATACATTGATGATAACTACTTCCATAAAGTCAAATGAAAGGATCTGTTTTCTGTGTTGTTTGTTCTGGAAAAACAACAGCGGCATGAAAATAATTTAAATGAAGATATTCTGTGGCAGTGAATTTCAGAGGAACAAGTACTCTGAACCAACTTTATGGTTGAACTCAGGGATCTCAAAGGTCTTTTCCAACCTAAATGATTCTGTGATTCTGTACTCCTAAAATGTTTAGGCTATAAATTTCAGCACAGGAGTGAACCTCATGCAGCAGGGATGCTCTGCTGGGGGTTTGAAGCCTTGCAGGGGTTTGGAAGTGCTGCTGTTTTGCGATGTCACATATGCTACCTGACCAACGCACGTGACACTGCACTTTATTTTCTTTTTCACAAGAGTTTGCAATTAAAGATAAAAATAATCAGGCTGCTCCTACTATTTCTAGGAAGGTAAAAAAATAATAAAATCAACAACAAAAAAAACAACTCAAAACCTTTCAGAGGCATTTTTGCCTGCACACGAAGGGTTCAGAACTGAATCCTTCTTATTTAAACAATTCCTTTCTGGGCTGTACGTCTGTCACAGTCTGAATCAATCCTTGTTGGAAGTCAGTGCACAAACACCCAAAGCTTTTGTGGAGAGTGGATCGGTCCCTCAGACTCTCCGGGTCTAGTTCTTACTTTTCTACGTGGTCAGTCTGGATGCATAGGACAGTGTGTCCCTGGCTCATGAACTCGATGTGGCATCCGGATAGGGGCTGAGATGATCTTATGAACAAGACCAAATCCACACACACAGGGGAAAAAAAGAGTACAGATTCATCATCTGCTTATAGTTTGGTTTCTGTAAGTAGTCTGTTTCAGTAAAAATGTTTAATGACAGCTATATTGTCTAACCAAAGCCAGGGAGGACAAGCAGGACTGGAGAACAGCATTTACAGAGGGCAGCGTGCTGATCGATTCTCAGCCCAGGGTCTTTCCACTTCGCCACCAAAATGGGTTTCTCACCTTTTCATTCACAGACCTGTTTATTTTTGAAAAGAGACAAAAGTTTGGAAAATAGTATCAGCTAGGATGTGCGTCTGGAGCCAGTGAATATTCCTAAAAACTTGGTCACCGTGACAAAAACTTTGTGTTATATTTGTTCCCCTCAAAAATCAACTAATTAGCTCCGCACCGTTCAATCGACAGCATCTGGGGAGGCTGCCTCCGGGTGCAGCAGGGCTCGGAGCAGGTGTGAGATTCTGACGGTGTGAATCCAGTTGGAGCGCAAAGACCCAGACCTTTCAATTTTTTTTTCCCTCCTTGTTTTTGGAAAGGAAAAATGCCTTCAACAATATGAATGCCTTTTCATTGGTTCTTTCAGGAAAACATATGGTTATAACCACATTTCTTGCCCTAGGATGACTAACTGTGAACTCATTCAACTGCATTGGTTCTGTTGTGGCATTTTCTATCTCACGTAACATAAAGTTCACTGCCAGGAAGTTTCCAGAATTATGCTTTTTTTTTTTTTCTCTTCTTCTTTTTAAGAAAGATTTCTTGATGAAAAACAAAATTAAAAAAATCATTCCAGTTTCTTTATTAAAAAAAAAAAGCAGCTAAAGCAGGTAGCAAGAATAAATAGCATGTGATTGAACTTCTTTCTAAGTAGCATATCATCACCAATGCTATCAATTTTAATACTTATTTAAATATGTCAAGATCTATTTAAGTTCAGACAAGCACAACTAACTTCTAAGTCAGTTCTGTAGAATAAGAATGACTAGATTTCAGTGATACTTAGTAAATTCGTGCTTGTATTTTTTTCTAACTAAATGAACTGAAATAATTATAAAATTGAAACATTTTACAAGGTGACACTGCTGCATTTAATTGTATGAAATTTGCGCTGTAGAAAATGTAATCATTTTATCCAATAGTCCTCGGTGTAATTAAGACTATTCTTTCTACATATCTTATGTTTATGAAATTTCCTTTGTATACATGGATGTGAGAGGTGAAATTCAAAATTATATATCAATTAAGGATCTTGCAATTTTTTTTTTCCTCTCCAAAGATCTGTTTTCTAACAACAGGGTTTTTTTCCTGAATACGTTAACCATAATGGTGCTTATGTAATCTGGAGAGAATAGATATGATTCTTAGGGCTTCATCCAGGAAAGAGAGCACACAAAAAGCACAAGATTTTAATAATAAAGTAATGTTTCAGCACAGAGTCTGTGATGTGCAGTAAAGATGCTTTTAAATTCCCATCAGAGCACACACCATGAACTGTGATAATGGATGTAACACATTTCGAAAAATCTGCATGTGTGAGGCTTTTTTGTCCTGTTTTAAGTGGGGTAATGTATATAAATAATAGATATTAGCAATTAAACATCCATTCCTATGCATTCATTTATATATTTGAAAATAAATTAGCCACAAACTGCATAAAAGAAGATGCAATCTCCTGTTTTCTCCTCTGTTTTCCCTGCTGTTTGTGAAACGGCATTTCTGCATTTATCTCAGTGAGAACAACGACCTCAGCTCTCATTCTCTACATTAGTAGATTAATTAGCACAAAAGAAGAACTAATAATTTTGCTGGCCCGCCTCAGCTCCGCATTTTCCTGCTCTTGTTTGGTGGCTGTCTGCTCACCCAGGTGATGCCCTGAAAAAACCCGGTGCAAAGCTCGCTGAAGCCACGGCGATCATCCTTGGTGAGACCTATGAGCTTTGGATCCGCTCCTCTCTGAGTGCAGAGAACAAGATAATCGCCGATTTCCTCAGCTATCACTCTGCCTTCAGAGGTTCTCCATGCACCAGCGAACAGGATTTGGCCTCGTGTGTGGAATAAGCAGTAACTTGTCAGTAGTGAGCAGAGTATGCAGTGACAACCACAAATCTGGCTTCCTTTGGTTTTCTTGGCTTCCGTCCAGCCCTTAACATTATTAATTGAGCACAGATTGGTTTTTTTGTTAATTTCCTTCACTTTTAGCTTTTTTAAGGAGTATGAAATCTGTTATTTGCATCACATGGTACACACCTGTGTGCCAGTAATGGTTGAGGGCCCCGATCCGATAGTCAGCAAACTGAGAAAATAGTGAGTGTCTGGACTAGAGAACAAGTCCCCTAAATGAAATAAATACTTCAGATCCTTCATTGAAATTAAATGTTTTCTAATAGACATATCAGACACATTCTTTTTATTACAGGATCAGTAATACAATAGAGATGGCAGTGGTTCCTGGTGAGCATGGCAGTTTATTCTGTTGATCTGTATTTAGAAATTCTTAATTTAGGAACTGTTAAATGATATACATGATAGATCCCAACTCCGTTTGATATGACACACTAAGCCATTATTGCAAAAGGTACACATAAGAAACTTCAAAAATGCTTCACACCCACTGGAATAACCAGGAATAGCTGGTTCTTGGCGAAATTCCACTAAAATCAGGAATGTTATATCATTTAGATTAGCAGGAGTCGTGCCCCTTGGTCTGTAATGAGTGTCCACCACCCATTCTATTCCCCAACTCTTGGTTATACTGCTGCCTCTGAGACTCTTACAAAAAATAATGCAGGTGTTCAGCTCTTCAACTCGTGCTTTTACATAGAAAGGATCAGCTCCTCTTTGGAAAAGGTAAGAGAACTCTGATCATTAGCCCCAGAGCAAGCTGTGTTTTAACAATGTTCATTCGTGAAAATGCACTTGACCTATTGGGCTTCTGCTACAATTTTGGTTTGTAACCACCTTCCACAGCGCTTTGTTTTCAAATATGCTTTTTCAAAATGCAGAGCACACTGAACTAACCAGAAGTCCTATCCACCTGTATCTGCCTGGCCCTGCTATCAGAGAGTTTTCTGCAGAAGCAGGGCAGAGTATGAAGAGAGCTCCTCACTCGTGTGGGTCGTGCAGTGTAGTCAGCAGAGGGAGGATTTGGTGATGGGTCAGCAGAATGGCGGGGTTGGATGTAATGGTCCGTACAAGAACTGCATATACAAGTCCATAGAAGTAATATGCTGACTGCCAAACACAGCATCTGTTCAGCAACCGCAGCAGCTGCTGCAGTACCAATGGCAAAAGCTACAGCTTTCTGCTGTTGGGGAGAATTGTGTCCATGAGAGACACTCTGTTTATCTGATACCGACACCAGTACCTCTGTGCAAACACTCTTTACAAAAGTACAAATGCTCTGTTGCGTGGTAGGCTCTAAGCTCCTCTTCTATGACTTTAATATCACTGACAATTTAAGATCACCTTCTAAAGGTTCTCATCTGTCACAAAAATGTCTGCAGGGCAACTTAATACTGCTTTTGGCCATGCTCTGGAACCTCCTGCTCAGCATGTAAGCATTTATTTCAAGTTAGATACACATAGTGCTCTTGCAATGGGCATTATTTAGAAATCAGCTTAAATGTGATCTGTTTTATAAAACATACCGTCACTGTCTCTCTGATGTACTGATGCGTCATCTTCAATGTAAGTGAATTCTCTGCATTTCTCCAGGGAAGCGATGGATGATGTGCTCGCGTCTGACAATTTCTTCTCATTTTTGGTACCCTTTGATGAAGCGTTTGTGATGCTGAATTCTGCGACAGAACTCATAACAATACCTTTCATAGGCTTTTCATCTGTATGTTTTTCATTTGTAAGCTGGTTATCTGCTGGGATTAGGAATAAAACAGACTTGTTTGCAATACTAAGAGATCTAAAAGAATAACATATGCAGAATTTCCAAGCCTACAGTTGTTTACTTCCAAGGCCTAACCCTACTTACCTAATGATTTCAGTCTCTTGAGGCAAGTAAAGTTTATTCATACTATAAGCATTTGTGAACTTGCATTCTAAGGTTTTTTCTTAAGCCCAGTAGACTTAGAAGTTAAATAATAATTCAATCCCACTGGGTGGGTTCAGGGCAGGAGAGAGGAACAGAACTATTGCCTCAGTCGACATCCATTTCGAGTGTGATATACTAACTTCAATTTGTGATGTAAAAGAAGGCAAAAAATATATCTTGCTATTTTTCAACAGCAGCTCCGTTTCCCTAAATTTACAGCCAACAATGTGTGTGTAGGTGGTACCTAGGTGCAGATGTGCCAGCTCGCCATGGCTCATAGTCTTGTAGCAAAGAAAGCCAGATGGTCTTTGTTTAACATCCAGATTCATTATTTCATAACTTCATCCACACTTGTGGTGTTGGCCTGGAAGTCAACTAGAAGATGGGATACTTCACATGCTGTCAGCGTGCCAGAGAGGCAGCTCAAAAACCAGAGGGAGAGCTTAATTTTAAGCCCCAACTAGGGGAAAGGTTAAGAAGAGTTCTGAGCTCAATTTATTCTCGAAGAACTTCTCAGGCACAGATAAACATGGGTTGATATATAGTTTCACTTACTCTGCGAAGTGATCAAGAGACCAAGAAACACAGTCATTCTCTCCATGGTTGGGATGATAAAACCTCAACAGTTCTTATCTACAGCTGATTAACTCCTGCACCTCACGTCAAGCACAGCCTCACTTTTTATCTTACTTAAATCTTGTGATATGCTTGCTCTTGAGCTATATACAGAAAATCAATCTTTACAAACACCTCAGTTTTGCAAACATTATTTTCTGAGAGGAACAGTAAGTCTGCTCTCCGCTGCAAGGAGCCAGGAGAGAGACCCTGCATATTTCTTGTTTTTCAGGTACCTTTGACCCCTGACAGATATTAAAGAAAAGCCAAGAAAACGTTGATAGAGAGTGAAACCTTGATGTGACTGCAGTTGTGTCCTACGGCATCCTTGCAGCCAAAAAGAGGAGATGTGAATGGGATAGGTGAATTGCAAGGTAGGTGAAAAACCACTGGGACCATTGGGCTTGAAGCAGGGGGAAACAAGGATTTGAGGTCTAACTGGTATCTGGAGCAAGTCCAGTGAAGGCCAGCAAGGTGGTGAGGGGTCTGGAGCATCTGATGTATGAGGAGAGGCTAAGAGAGCTAGGCTGGGATGGCCTGGAAAAGAGAAGGAAAAGAATGATGCTGGATGCTGTCTTCCACTTCATAACGAGGGCGATGGAGAAGCCGGAGCCCAACTCCTCCCAGCAGTGCACAGAGGTAGAAGGACAAGAGGCCACTGTCACAAGCTGGAGCAAGAGCAATTGGGATTGCATATGGGAACAAATTCTTTATCATGCGAGGCGGAAAGCACCGGGACAGCCCCTGGGGAGGCTGGGGAAGTGTGGAGAGCTCAGCTGGGCATGGGCCCCAGCAACCTGCTCTTACTGCAGGGTTAGCCCTCAGACGAGGTGACTTCTAGAAGTCCCTTCTAAGCTAACTTTTCTATGATTCTATTTACTTACAGAATGAGTGAGCAATTCACTTAAATTTTTTACTTATAGTCAGATTCCATGCCGGTTTAGATCATCTTCATGTGGTAAAATACGTGGAAGCAGAAAAGCTGGGTAAGAGGCTAGTAGAGTAAGACCTTGGGAGAGCATAAAAAGAAAAACTAAGCTATCATCTTTATTTTAACTTTAAATCACTGCTTTAAAAATGTGTGTTGGCAGATGTTTTGGCTTGATTTTGAACTTGTAATAATGACAAACTCTACTATGAAGGAAATGTGTGTTTTCCCTGTGCTGGAGAGTTTACAGGTTGGCCTTAGGCAGGGAGTGACCGGTGGGATAGAGAGAAGTGGAGGGAATGAGACAATAAGACAACAGTGGCGCTGAGAGGAGTCTCAGAAACTTATAACTGTCAGTTTTTGTGAGCGCTATGATGAAGGAAAGCCACAGGCGAGACTTGGGAAGGGCAGGAGAGGCGGTGGCTCCTCCGACTGTGAACAAGCAGTGCAAAGCACAGCGGTGCTCGCCTGCAGGTTGTACACTTGGTCATAAGAAACCAGCATCCTGTGCAAAGCACATCTGATTTTACCCATCTTTGATAATTTATTGACCGTTTTCCCCCCACAGTAAGTAAATACAGCATTTTTTTCTCCTCTGTGACTTCTTGGCCAGCCTCTCGAGTCCAAAATGTGAAAATTCATGCATTTTGGATGTACTTACATGTGCAATAACCACTGTTTTCCAGTGTTTATAAATCAATGACATACCGTCATTTTTCCTGCACTTTCATTCAATAACATACTTTCTCCAGGAGTAGTTGTGCTGATTGAAGTAGCAGAGCTCTGGAGAAAGCAATGTCCTGCTTATGCATTGGATTTATATAATAATTGATTTGTGAGTCTGAAATAGACGTGCCCCACCTGTTATTCAGGTGCCAATCTTACAAATGGATCTTGTTTGTCCAAGCTGAGAGTTACAAACAGGCTGAGCTGTTGAATACCCACAGATCAGACTGAAAGGCCTCGGCAAGAATGACGTTTTCTATCATTTTCCGCCTTCAAAATTGGCCCAAAAATCTAAACTGGATATATTTTAAATTGCAATATATCTGTTGAGTTCCCCGTTTCTGCAACAATACAATGGCCCACAGAATGCATTTACGCGTTCAACAAATGAGACTGAAAGAAATCAGACGCAAGTAATCAGTAAATGCCAGACTAACATTTACTGTATCCACCGACTTCTACTATTCATGCTTCGAGTCAATTTTTATTCTTGAAGTGCTGTTGAAGAGAAATCAAAACCAGAAATAGAAAAGCATAGACATAACCTGAATTTTTCAATACAGCACCATCAAACAAAAGGGTAACAAAAGCTGTCATTCAAGGACTCTTCTGTTTGTTAAAGCATACTACATCTTTGAAAATACAGTACATTTTAGTGTCAGACTCTTAGTTTGAAAAGCTCCCTTTAAGTAATGTTATACTTGTCTTGTACAGCTAGATCAAGTCTTCATGCAATCACCATAACAAGCAACTTGCTATGACAAGCGAGATCCTTGCTTCCAGAAAACAGTGCGATAGAGGCTAAAGCAGTGTACAATTATAGGTCTCCATTTCATTTTTATGCAATTACCTTCAGTTCAGCTGTGAGTCCATCTACATTATGTCTTTTATCAATTTAATGTTTGCACAAAGTGTCTAAAGAAATAAAGATTATGCTAGACCAGCATAAAAAAAAAAGCAGTTAGCACTTTTTTTTGGTCTTTTATAGTTTGTTCCTGCATGGAACAGTGGTAGGTTGAGACTTTGGAACAAATAAGTGGAGCCAAATAGACTTTAAAATATATTACGTACAATTGATATTATTTATGATTACTGTTAAATGAGAATGTAAAAAAATAATAATTTACAATTAGAGATGGGCAGAGGGTCAAACTTTGTTACTGTCTTTTAAGAGCCTGCATTCAGTTTCGGATATCCACAAATGTCTGTGTTTTTAATGTGTAGAAATCATCCACTGAAGTGAATTAAAAGGGAAAAATAAGTGTATCATGATGAAGAAAGCTTAGATTATTCAGTGCTAGACTGCGAGGCAGAGGGAGCTAGAGGTAAACCCCCACAATGAGCCATTTTTAAATAGTATCATGAAGTAGCAACTTTCTTCCTCACATGGGGAAGCTGAGGCTTGCCTTGGCTGCTGCAGTAGAAAACTGGGATCATTCACCCATGTTTGTATTAAAGATAGTCTCAATACTCACATGAAATTTCTATTTTTTTTTTTTTTTAAAGTTGGGTGGTTCAGGCATCTGACTACAGTGTCTAAATTCATGAATGCATGAAGTAAATCACTTGCTTTCCACTGATGCCAGTCCCTGATCCCCCTGGTTAATGGCAAGGAGCAGTGATACCAAGGCTGGTGTTTACGGTAGGTCCCCTGACATCTATTTCTCTTCACTGGCTTAGGCACAAACCAGGGTCTTGCAGCCCTGGAGAATAGGAGGCTGGAGTTTCCTAGCATGTTTTTGAAATTAGCTTTCATATAGTGGCATATAGGGGCTCTAAGCCTGATTTTGGCAAGGGTCGGAGGGGGAAATGAGCACTCTGTTCTGCTGGACGGGGACTGCAGCAATATGGGTAAGGCCAAAGAACTGGCTAGGGGGAGTTACCACTGAAAGAGAAGGAGGAGAACTGCTCTATCACCCTGCGTAGGGCTCATACGCATCTTGCAAGCAAAGGACAAGGGAGCTTGTGGCTCTGCTCACTGGTGGTATTTGTTCCCAATCCATCCTGGCAGTGGCCCTTTGCCTCACACCCAAGGACAAGGACTCCCAAGGGTTAACGGTGAACTGTGTGGAAAATTCGAGCAGTTTAGGATGTGTAACTTTTTAATTTCACCGTGAGGCATGTTTGTGTATCAGTGCAGTGAAAGAACCAAAGGAATGCCTGGCTGATCTCCCTGCCATTCGTTATCCCGTGCACTGCTATCACTACCTGTCTATTTAATATATCACATGCTCGTTACTGAAAGAGCTGCATGCCATGTCCATTCAGTCCTGAGAGGAAGCAGGCAGAGCTACATCAGATCTGATGGATGATAACTTCCATGTATAAAGGCTTAAACCGAACTCACTTGGTTTGAAAAGACTCATAGTGAAATGAAACCCAAATCCCAGGTTTCAATGGCCACACTTCAAAAAAGAAAAAGAAAAAATAAAAAAAAATAAAAAGAGAAACAAAATACTTTTCTTGCTAATCTAAAGGACACAATTTTTCTGCCAGCAGGAATTGGAGGGGATGCCAGAGGTATCTCTGCACAGTGTGACACGTGCATGGGGCCAGCAGCTTACCTGGATGGTCCTCGCTGCTCGGCGTCACCCCAGGGAGTGCCGGTAGAGGCAGGGAGCTGGTGCAGCTGTCTTGGTGGAAGAACAAAACAACATTGCAGAGGGACACTGTAAATAGCTGTGGTTTGGCACATGCATCACCCCCAGCCACTTAGTGACAGTCACTGACTTCAGGAGTTGTTGCTTTGGGGGCAAATAGAAGCAAGCACGCTTCCTTGCAGGGGGAGGTTACATGGGATGGGGCACTGTTTCTGTTCCTCTCTGTCTCACTTCTGGAAAGGAAGCCAAAGATAAAAAAAATGCTAAGAGAGAAGGTTTCATCTGAGAAGACAGCAAGAGGATCACCGGCAAACACAGAAGTTCCTGTTTCAGGTATGTACAGAAAATTTGAGGGCTAGGAGGTCTGCAATGGAATGTGGGGCATCATCCATACCCAAACACCCCAGAAACCTTAGACGAGGTTCCCAAATCATCAGCAAAGATGGAGGGAGGAAACTAAAGCTCCAACCTCTATGGCTCAGCCATCTTGGTGGACAAGATGCTCAAGGTCCTTGTGGTGGCAAGCCCAGGTCCCCACGTGGGTGCTGAGCTCCTCCACCTCTGCTGTGTTTACCAGGCCATCCACTCTACACATAGGACTTGGAGGCTTAAACCTTCCTTCCTTCTCTCTTCCAGGGTCAGGGAGGCAAAGTAGGAGGGAGTGTGGGACTACCCCTACAGCGAGTGCAGCAGATGGAACAAAGGCAGGAGAGGCCAGAGGGAGAGCGGGTG